GAGAGGGGCTGGGGGTGGGAGGGTCCCTGCTGGGCAGGTCACCCCGGGTACCTTGGTCACTCCACTCAGAGCTCCCCCTCCCCACCCCTCCCACAGGTCACAGCCCCAGGGATCCCCACCCCTGCTTCCCAAACAAGGCTCAAGGTGGACAAGCAGACCTGGGATGTTGGAAGTTGAGGCTTGTACCTTCAACACTGTATACATGTTGACCCAGAAACTCCACTTTATGGATTCTGTTGCAAATAGAGGTTGATGGACACGGTGTTCCCTTCAACAGGGTGGGAGTGAGCTGCCCACGCTAGGTGATGGGTGCACCTGTGGCCTGGGATGGGTGCTGCTCACTGTTCTCCCAGACAGGGGTGCCCGTCACCCTTCTCTCCCAGGGACCTCCGTTTCCTCACGTTCTCGCCAGGGCTGCTGGTCCCCAGACCAGACACCTGCCAGTCTGAGGGTGACCAGTGCTGCCTCCCTAAGGTTTCCTTTGCCAGAGTCCTTCCCCGGGAGCTCCTGCATCTCTGACTCCCCCCATGCCTGTCCCCCTCCCCTTGGACTTGCATGCATTTCGTCTCTGTCCCTGTGGAACCCAGTGACTTGGAGCATGGTTTGGACCAGAGGCATGGGAAACCTTTCTGTGGCCTTGGGTTGTGAGCAATGCTTTGGCCCTTTGGGGTGTGTCTTCCAGCTTTCTGCATTTCCCTGGTTTCTCTGTGGGTCACAGGAGGAACCAGCCCTTTCCTGTCTGGGGTCAGGCTGAGGTGTCCCAGCAGGAACAAGGGTCTCCGCCCCGAGATTGTGTCAATATTTACCAAAGGGGGCTCTATGGTTCCATCTCATCTGTAATCCATCGGGGATTTCAACATCAAATAAGGGAAATTCTATGTCAAGTCAACCCAGAAAAGAAGGAGTCCCCTTTGAAAATAGGGGGGCAGACACAAAGGCCCATACTGTGTGATTCCACGTACAGGAAACATCCAGAACAGGTAAAGGAACAGAGAGAGGAAGCAGCTTAGGGGTTTCCAGGGAGGTCTTCTGGTTCGGGGACTCCTTTGGGGAAGCAGATATTCCACAGCCATGTTCTGTGGTGTGGTGGCCCAGCGTTGGGAATGTACTTGATGCTCCGGACTTGTTCAACTGAAAACAATTCATTTTATTTAAAATGAATAATAAACAGCATATAGGACATGGAAAGAGAATAGAACAGTTAATACGAACCAGAGAGAAAGAACATAGGGGAAGGGGATGAAACAATCTGGCGGGGCATCGGGGTCGGGTGATGGAGCTAAGGGTAATGGTACAAGGAGCTCTCCCCATGAGGATGTGGGCTCTGGATGTGGTTCTGGGAGCCCTGCAGGAGCAGGAGGAGGGGCAGGGCCAGATGCAAGAGCAGGGCCAGATGCAAGAGCAGGGCCAGGGGCAGGATCCACGGTAAGAGCTGGGTCAGGGGCAAGTACAGGAGCACAGGCAGGGCCAGGGGAAGGGGCAGCGGCCCTGGAAAGCAGGGGAAGGGGCATCGGCTCTGGCAGGTGCAGGAACAGGGACACAGGCAGGGGAAGGGGCATCGGCTCTGGCAGGGGCAGGGGCAGGAACAGGGACACTGGCAGGGGAAGGGGCATCGGCTCTGGCAGGGGCAGGGGCAGGAACAGGGACACAGGCAGGGGAAGGGGTATTGGTTCTGGCAGGGGCAGGAACAGGGACACTGGCAGGGGAAGGGGCATCGGCTCTGGCAGGGGCAGGAACAGGGACACAGACAGGGGAAGGGGCATCGGCTCTGGCAGGGGCAGGAACGGGGACACTGGCAGGGGAAGGGGCATCGGCTCTGGCAGGGGCCGGAACAGGGACGCAGGCAGGGGAAGGGGCATCGGCTCTGGCAGGGGCAGGAACGGGGACGCAGGCAGGGGAAGGGGCATCGGCTCTGGCAGGGGCAGGAACAGGGACGCAGGCAGGGCAAGGGGCATCGGCTCTGGCAGGGGCAGGGGCAGGAACAGGGACGCAGGCAGAGGAAGGGACAGGTGCAGGGGCAGGGGGTGGGTCAGGGGCAGGAATGGGCGCACACGCAGGGGCAGGGAAACGGGTAGTGAAAGGGGAAGGAGCTGGGTCAGAGGCAAGGATAGGAGCACAGGGAGGGGCTGGGGAAGGGACAGTTGCAGGGGCAGAAGCCGAGTCAAGGGCAAGAACAGGAATACAGGCAGGGGCAGGAGAAGGGGCAGGATCCAGGGCAGGAGCTGGGTCCGGGGCAAGAACAGGAACACAGGTAGGGGAAGGGGCAGGTGCAGGGGCAGGAGGTGGGTCAGGGACAGGAACAGGACCACAGGCAGGGGCAGGGGCAGAACCCGGGTCAGGGGCAAGAATAGGAGCACAGGCAGGGGCAAGGGAAGGGGCAGGATCCAGGGCAGGAGCTGGGTCAGGGTCAGGATCCGGATCAGGGGCAAGAACAGGTGCACAGGTAAGGGAAGGGGCTGGTGCAGGGTCAGGAGCTGGGTCAGGGGCAAGAACAGGTGCACAGGCAGGTGCTGGGGAAGGGGCAGGTGCAGGGGCAGGAGGTGGGTCAGGAGAAGGGACATTGGCTCTAGCAGGGGCAGGGGCAGGGGCAGGGGAAGGGGCAGGAGTTGGGGCAGGGGCCGGAACAGGAGCACAAGCCGGGGAAGGGAAGGGGGCAGGTGCAAGGGGAGGGACAGGGTCTGCCGCATTGGCACGTACAGGACCCGGGGCAGTATCTGGGTCAGGGGCAAGAACCGGGGCACTGGCAGGGGTAGGGATGGGTCGGGGGCAGGAGCAGGGCCACAGTTCGGGGCAGGTGCAGGGGCGGCGGCTCTGGCAGGAACAGGGGCAGGCCCAGGGGCAGGCTCTCCGGAGGCAGGTTGTCCAGCAGGCCCTTCCTGGCCCCCGTCAGGCTCTCCGTGGGCGGGTGCTGGGTCACCTGCCGGCTCCTGGTCTCCTGCTGAAGTAGCAACCACCACCCCTCCGTCCAGAGCTGCCGGTGGAGTTGGAGCCGGCTCTAGCTCCTCAGGTGGTGGAGCAGCTGTGAGAGGAGAAAAGCTCAGCCCGAGCCTGCTCTCCGTGGAGACAGAACCCAGCCCAGGGCCTCCCAGAGAAGCCGCAGCCAGGAAGGAGCCCTCCCCGGGGCGTCTCCCCGACCGCAGTCCACCCGCTGGGTGCTCTGAGCCCAGTCGGTGCTCCAGGCCCCACACCAGGCTCTGGGGGCTCCTCCCTGTGGGGCCAGCCCCCACCCTTCCACACACACCCACGGGCACCCAGCCCCGGGCTTCTCAGCCTCAGGCTCGGCCTCCGTGGGCTCCGGCTCCTGGAGCACAATGCAGTCAATGACCACCAGGGACAGTGGTCTGGGTGGTGTCGGAGGCCTCTCCCCGCAATCCCCAGCACCTGCTCCAGGGGAGTCCTGTGGGGTCACGCTCCAGATCCCGGACATGGAGTGGGTGTCCGCCAGCCTCGTGCCGATCTCATCGGAGGTCTGCAAAGACAGGGACGGGTAGCCGGCCCGGAGGCATCCCAGTCCTGCCCGGCCAACCTCCCTGTCCCCTGCCCAGTCGCCCTGCTGCTCCCAGATCAGACACACACCTGTGGGTGCACAGCCCTGCACGCGGGACAATGACCCATCCCTGCAGGGCGATCGAGATAAACCCTGGGCAGAAGCTCACAGCCCCCCACACCCCGTCCCACCCAGCCAGCCTGGACCTTGAACATGACCTGCCCATGGGTTATCTGACCCCTCATCAGCCTGCTCTTGAATGGCGTTGGCCCACCCCACATGACCCCTCTTCACACACACACACACACACACACACACACACGCACGGAGGGGAGGGGACCTGGGGCTGCACAGGTGGATTAGACCCTGTGGGGCTGGGTGGCCGGCTCTGGGCCTCCTGGTGTCACCTTTCGGGCCTTCCGGCCAAACGGCCAGAGGCGGCGGGGAGCCCTGATCGGACATCCCCAGCGGGGGCCAGCGTTTGCAGGGCGGGCTTTCTTCAGCCTGCAGCATCCAGACTTAGGGAGGCAACAAGCCCACATGTTCATGGTTGGATGATCTCCAATGAAATGAGCTGGGCAGGGGGCTGTCTCTGGAATGTGGGTGCCTTGTTACCTGGGTTCCAAATTCTGTTGGACTCTGTTGTCAGGGAAGTGAGGTCACCACTGCCTGGGGTCCCCTTACCCAACTTCCTCCTCACACAAGACCCCCACCCCCGAGGGCCCCCTCCCCCAGCTGCTCAATGCTCCCCCTCCCCCCATGCCCCATCCATACAGTGACTCCCTCACAGCCCACCCACAGCCTTCCCAAGGCCTGGGTGCAGCCGGTGTCCCCGCTGTGAGGACACAGAGCTGGCTTCAGACTGGGCTCCTGTGCGTGCCCAGGGCTGTGGCCCTGGACAGACCCTGTGCCTCTCAGGGCCTCCCCAGGCTCCCCATCTGCACAGTGGGGTGTTCTGGCTTCTACTCCTAGGGACGCCATCAGGGGTAGGACCTCTACATACATTCCGTACTTGCTATCACAGGAGGCTGGGGCACACTTGGCAATGCAAGGATGAGCCAGGGGCTGGGCGGGACATGGAATACAGCTCAGAGGGGCCTGGGTCTGCTCTGGGGTCTGGGCAAAGCCACCGCCTTCTTGCCTGTTCCCAGCCCCTGTGGGAAGGTTGCAATGAACGGATTCCGACCTTGTCCCCTGGTGACGCACACTTCCAGGGGCTCCCATTAGGTTTAGGCTCAGGCCCCGGGGCCTCGTCTGCGCCCATGTACTGGGCAGTCCCCACAGTGGTTCCCGGGCATTCCCGCATCTTGCTCACACATCCCTGTGGAATCCCCTCCCCTCCGGGGTGGATGGCCTGTGTGACCGCGCTCTCAGGAAGTGAATGGGGCAAAATGCTGGGATGTCATTTCCAAGCTGATGGAGGAAAGTCTGTGACTTCTTCTGGTTCCCTCTGTCGTGTGTTCATTCTCTGTCTCCTTATCTCTTTCTGTCTCTTTCTCTGTGTCTCTCACAGGAGCAGGATCTGTGGACTCCAGGGGTGATGTGAGAAACCTCAGAAGCCTCCCTTGTCCGTGTTTCCCTCGTCTGTCCTGGTGCTCCATTCCTTCCTAAGGCCTTGTCACCCGGACCAGAGCAGTGAATCTGGAACCTCTTCCAAATGGAGACCCGGAGGCTGCAACAAGGAGGGTCTTGGCCTTGGTCCCCAGACTAGTGGTCAGTGCTCTGCCACGTTCTGCGTACCCAGGTCCTCAGCCCCCCAAGCCCCCAGTCTGTCCCCTGCTCAGAAGGACCTCGAGGGAGTACAAAGCATTTTCCCAGGACTGGGAGCACAGTGGGTCGGGGATGGAGATCCAAGGCCAATAGGCTCTTCCACAAGCCTGTGGGACCCTAGGGACACTGCATCTCTACAGCCCAAGTGACAGAAGAGTAAGCTGAGGCCTTTGTGCTGTAGCCCCTCTGGACTTGGGGGTGGGTATCTCTTCCTGCTTCCAAGTGCCCAGGCTGGTGATGGACACCGGAACCCAGACCCTGTCCTCTCCCAGTGCCCTGGCAACCCTTCGGGGCCCCTTGGGGACCCCTGACCCTCAGCCTGGCCTGTCTCCCCTCCCCATGCTATGGATCTGGGTCCTTGCCAGGAGTCCTGATGCCCTGCCCCATGGCCCAGCTGTCTGCAACCTGTTTCTTCTTTCCCCCCTGTCACCCACCTCGCTCCCAGGGTGTCCTCCCCTTCTGACCCCCAGCTGGGCAGTCAGAGTGGTGTGGGTGTGGTGTGTGTGTGGGGGGGTGTGTGCAGCTGCACGTGCCTCTACGTGCCTGGGGATGCCAAGGTCATGTCCCCACATGGGACGGGGTGGGTAGCTCTTCCCGAGGATCTGAGGGGCTCTCACCCCCAAAGCAAACCTCATGGGAGGGTTGGGACTGGCCTAGGACTGGAGAGCAGCTCCTTGGACTCTGCACCCCTCAGTTGTCCTGGGCCAGTCCCTGCCTCTCTTGACGCAGGCTCCCAACTGTCCCTGAGGGTCGGACATGGAAAGGCTTGAACGTGGCTGCTCCTCCAGGGGTAGGTGGGGGACAGGTGCACCAGGCACGCAGGCCTCCCCACCGAGAGGGCCAGCCAGGTGTGTCATGGCCAGGTGTGCACAGACGACCTGCCCACAGCTCCTGTACCATGACCCAGCCCTGCGGCAGATGTGCACGAGACCCATGGCTCCGCACCTGACCGGTCCCCCGCATTCCCTCACCACCTCGGAGACAAGGGCTCTTCTTCGTCCTAGGGCCCGTCATCCTTTGGACAATGAGAGCAGAGGGATCCGTATCTAGAGGAGGCCGGCAGGGCGTCCCACGGAACGTCGTGTGCCCATGTCTGCTTTGTCGTCTAGGCTTAGCGGCGGACCCCCACCTAGAAAGAGGCCCGCGGGGCAGGGACATTTGTCTGCCCTGTTCCCTGAATTATGGAAAATGTCTAGAATGGGCTTCCTGTCCATGTGTGGAGTCGATGAAGCCCAGCCAGCACCTTTCAGATGTCTGAGTGGCTCTGGGGCCCCTCTGCCAGCCCCCAGGGATCCCTGCTCTGGCTCCACCCAGGATGGGAGCCCCAGATGGAATCTGAAACCTCCTCACAGCCAGGAATGCGGCTTTGCCCGGGACACAGGACACCGAGGCTTGGGGCAGAGAGCTCCTTCACGGTGGAGAGGAACCGCCTCAGCCCCAGGCCACCCTCCCCGTGGGCCGGCCACAGGGTCGGGGAGCGGTCCCAAGAGGCCCGACGGCAACCCCGTGTGTGGGGCCTGGCCTCGTGGCACGCAGGGTCCCCAGGAGACACCTGAGGTTTGGAGAGGGGACGTGCCAGGCCCGAGACACACAGCCCGCAGGTGAGGGGGAGCCTCCGGGTGGGACGGGGGGCCCTGCTCACCTTTGTGAGCAGCAGGTGTGGGAAGGGCTAGGGAGGCGTTCCTCTGGGAGGTGCTCCGGGAGAGGGGCCACAGGAGAGGGCCTGGCCCGGCTCCACCAGCTTCCTCAGGCTGTCAGCACGGACCGCCCACAGCCTCTGGCTCGCCCCCAGCGGCAGGGCCCACTCAGGTTCACGGTGGGGCTGATCTTTGGATAAAGGAGGGACAATTCACAACACACAAACTGCAAAACTCTTCCTGTCCGTGTCCTGAAGTGCAACAGAATATCCAAATTGGTTCGGATCATCTTCCACGTATGTGAAGGGTGATTTTGTACCTGGCCAAGGCTGGGGCTGGACCGGGTGTGTGTGTCTGTGTGTGAAGGACCAGGTGTGTGTGTGTGTGTGTGTTTGAAGGACTGGGTGTGTGTGTGTGTTTGGCGTGTGTGTCTGTATGTGTGGGTCTGTGAAGGGAGCAGCCCAGACCCCTTGGGTTGAGATCATGGCCACGTAAGGGGCACAGCCGTCGTGGCACCCCGGGTCGTCAGTGTCCCGGATGGCGTCGGGGCAGGAGACCCTCCCGGCCCTCCCCGAGCCCGATCCTGGAGCGCCCTCGTCCCCACACTCCCCCTGAGCCCGCACCAGCCCTTACCGACTGCCTGGTGCACGTGCCCCACGCCGGGGAGCCGTCGAGTGAGGCTCCTGTTGACCAGCTTGTCCCCAATTTCTTCCATGGGGCTCTGCGAAGACAGTGAGCGGCGCCCGGCCCGGAGGCATCACAGCCCTGCCCGGCCGTCCTCACCGTCCTCCTGCCCAGCCCCACTGCTGCCCCCAGATCAGACACAGCCCCGTGCGGGCACAGCCCTGCGCCCGGGGTGCAGTGACATGTATCGACAGGGCTCCGGATCAACCCTGGGGAGAAGGAGGCCGCCCCAGCACACCCCGTCCCATCCAGCCAGCCTTGACCCGGGGTGTCAACATGATCCACCCACCAGGCATCTGGCCCCTCATCACCCTGCTCCTGCTCAGGGTGGGCTACCCTGCCTGAGACCTCTGCACACACACACACACACACACAGGAGGGGTACTGGGCTGCACGGTCGGATCACAGCGGTGTCTGGCTGGCCTGGCTGGCTCTGGGCCTCCCTGTGTTCCCTTTGGGCCCCTCCAGGCAAATGGCCAGAGGTGTCAGGGGTGGGACCTGACCCCAGGTCTGCAGTGTAGGCAACGGCTCTCACTGTTGGCTTTGCTGAGACCACATCCTGGGGACATCGGGATACAGCAGGATTGCAGCATCTCCAGCCAAGTGAACTGAGTAGGAAGGGGGCTGTCTCTAGAATGTGGGTGCCTGTGACAGCCCTTGGGCATCTTGGGGACGCCCTGGCCATCAGCCTGGCATGTCTCCCCTGAGCCCCATGCTACGGCCCCGGGCATGTTCCCAGGAGACAATGCCCACAGCCCACGGCCCAGCTGCCTCCAACCTCCTCCTTCTTTCCCCCTTGTCCCCTCCAGGGTCCACGCCCCCTTGGACGCCCCTGGGGAGTTTGTGTGTGTGTGTGTGTGTGCGCGCGCGCGCAGAGCCTTGTGTGTACGTGTGCCCGCGTGAGGGTGACCAGAGGAAAGGGCCCCACATGGGAGTGTGGGCAGGGGTCCCCCGGATCATAGGGGTCCTCGTTCCCAAAGGAAACCCCATGCGAGGTGAAGCTTGGCCTCGGAAGCTGGAACCCTCCCTGTTCCTCTAGCCTCTGCTCAGCTGGTGGGTCCCAGGCCAGTCCCTGCCTCTCCTGCCCTCAGTTTGCCGACTGTCCCATGAGGGCTTGGAGGAGGAACTTCATTAGCGTGGCTCGGCGTGGCCGGTCGGCTCCCACCTTTTGGGTGGACGTGGCGCAGGTGCACTCTGGGTGGGTGGGGCCCTCCCACCAATGGTGGGTCGGAGGCAGGTGGATCCTGCGCAGGCGCACACGGCCCAGCAGACGGCGCCTGCGTGGGACCCCACCTGCCAGCAGGCCTGCGCAACCCCGAGGGGCTGGCTGTGGCCTTGGTCCTCCGTGTCCCGATCTCCACTGCCTGCTCAGTGACCCTCACGTCCTCTTAGGCCAGGGGCCAGCCCCAGTCCCGCCAGGCAGGGCCGCCGGACTGAGTGGACATGGAGACCTGGGGACTAGAGAGAAATGAAATATACCCCCGCTGCCGTCCTGGCCCCCACGTTCCACTTCAGTGTTCATCTCAGTGCATGGCGGGGGGGTCAGGGGAGGGTGATGGGGACACGTGTGGGCAGGGAGGAGGTCAGGCCGCCTTTGCCTCCTCTACATCCCCTCCCCCTGTCTTCCTGGCAGCAGCCCCTCTCCCCAAAATCCGGCACTCAAACACCTTCATCTCCCTGCTTTAAACCCCAACCCATCCTCCTGAGGTGGGAGTCACTGACCCCATCTCCAAAGTAGAAAACTGAGGTCCCAGGAGTTCCCACAGGAGCTTGCCAGTCACAGGGCTGTGACATGGCCCTGCTGTGGGTTTGAACCCAGCTCAATCTGACCCAAAGCCTGAGCTTACAGAGGAGCTGGAGGAAGTAGCCTTTGAGCCCAGGCTTGGAGGTGAGGCCACCCTGGATGGGGGTCATAGGGAGGGACGGCAGGGGTTCTGAGGGGCAAATTCTTGCCGGGCTCCCTGGGGGACGAAGGCCCTACAGAGGCTGGAGTGGGCTGAGGGGTGCACACTGGGGAGCATGTCTAGACCAGATCACGCAGGGCTCTCTGGATATTGGGCAAGGAGTCAGGGGACACTGCGGGTTGGGGGGTTCAGGGGACACAATCCGGGCAGTCTTACCAGAGCCACAGCATCGTAGATTTAGAAGGAGCTTGGTGGGCATGTTATTGTCCCCACCCAAGCATGGGGATCACCAAGCAAGCACCAGCCAGAGGTGAGGAGGCTGCCGCAGTTTCCTCCTGTGTAGAGTGGGGCCGTGGTGGTCGTCTGCGTCCTTCCAGGCCTGGGCATGCTGCCTGGAAGGTCCAGAGGTGGCTTCGTCAGAGTAGCTAGCTGTTTCAGTGAGGTCAGTACTCAGAGACGTCTGAGTCAGGAGACCAAAGGGACGCCCCATGTGCCCAGTTCAGCAGGATGCTCTTGTACATGGTGCCAATCTTCATGTCCAGGCTGATGGGGTTGAGGCAGCAGCGCCTACCTGCTGCATGGAGAGCGGCAGCGAGGAGCCGTGGTTGCAGACCCCGAGACACGGCGCTCGTGTGAGTCCGAGGCTGCCACAGATCTGATGGAGGCTGAGGAGGGGGAGGTGCTGACAGAGGCTGAGATGATGCCTGAGGTCTGCAGCAACGACTGGGAGGTCAACTCCGGAACTTGAGGAACGGCAAGGCCAGCAGAAACACCAGACTGTGTAAGGCAACCCTGGTCAGCATCTAGCCCAGAAGCTTCTAGAGACTGAGTCTTCTTGGCCCCTTGTGGCTGTGGAGTGGGGATCCAGGCTCCAGGAAGGGATGTCTGTCAGGGAGAAAGGGTGGGACAGTCACCTCCTTTTCCTGGCCATCAGGGATCCTGGGACAAAACCCACACTAATGTCCTCCACATCTACATCGGGCTGGAGGAGCATGCAGAGCGGGTAGGCGATGTCCCTGCTGCGCAGGTAGGGGCTGCATCTGAGCTGGTCCCAGGACTTGGAGTGAGCGCTCCTTTTGGTCTTGGGTGTTGTGTTGGGGGTGCGGTGGCAGAATTGAAGGGCTGACTTTGCATTGATCCGACACCCTGGGTGAATGGGTGCTCTAGGGTGTCCGTGGGC